AAAGAATCGTCACATGTTTTCCAAATTTATCGAAAGCCAACTCACACCGACACGGTCATCCCCGCGTCATCATGTCATCCATGGCAACATAAAGTAGCCGCTTTTTATTGTTACATTAACCGTTTGTTCACTGTCCCATTAAGTAAAGAAAATTATTTAAAAGAACTTAATATAATTTATCAAATAGCGGTCTCTAACGGTTTTTCAAAAAATCTCATTAACAATTTAATTAAAAAGAAACAAAAGCATGTTATTCGCAACTCTCTGTACGCGGTTCAACCTCAAAGTGTTCATCGATATGTGAGCAGTTTGACCTACTTAGGCCCCATATCTGAAAAAGTAGCTAATACTCTTCGACAAAACGGCGTTCATGTGGCGTTCAAAACAAACAATTCTCTTAGAAATATCTGTAATAGTAAAGATAAGTTAGATATTCGTCAAAAATCAGGTGTTTACAAACTTGTTTGTGACGAATGCCACGCCGTTTACGTGGGTCAGACTGGTCGCAATTTCGAGACACGTTATAAAGAGCATTTAGCCGCGTACAGGAATTGCAATCCCGATAAATCCCATTTTGCCAAACATCTTTTGGACACTGGACACAACCTAGCCAACGACCACTCCTTTAAAGTCTTACATACGTGTAATAAAGGGCTGCGGCTGTGTGTGCTGGAACAGTTAGAGATATTAAAAAGTAATAATAATACTGTTGCATTGCTGAATGAACAAACAAATGTTACTAACTCACCTCTCTTAAATATCTTCAAGCCTGCTCTCTAATAATGTGGGCGTTGCGCGGCGGTTTGTTTTTAATTTTACAAACAGCTGCGTAAGTCCAGCGGTGATTGGTCGCATGTTTTATCGCATGACGCAATCGCTCGCTCGTTAGGTAGAGAGCGGTTGCATCATCGGTTTGTATAAAAGGCACTTGTTTTGGCTCGCCGCTCACTTAGCGGTTAGCTACCGTAGAGTCTATATCACCTGAGGATGCCTCGTGTAGAGGCGAAACACGTGTCGTATTATCGTCAGTGGTGTGTCTTGCCTAGTGTAGTGGTGTTGGAAGTAGCGGTGCTGGGATTAGTGGTGACGGGGATAGTGCACAAAATTGAGGGAGGGCGGGAGGTGCTTCTTCATACTAGGTAAGACACATTATTTTATTTTATAACGCGGATATTTGCGAAGTAAAAAAAAATTTTTGTAAAAGCTTTTACTTACTAAATAATTTACCACACTCATTACACACGTAAGCATACTGTTCTGTAATTGCAGTCTTAAATCATACTGAAGTATTAGTAAAGCTCAAAATCCAAAAGCGTTCATATACGAGTCAACTGAACAGTGCCTCAGATATTAAGTTCGCCTCTATATACCGTTCGATAAATGAAGTTTATATAAGTTAAATAATAAATTTTTACAGCCTGCATACATGTCTCATTCATTCATTTCTAGTGACCCGAAAAAACGAACGGGTCGTTCAAGTATCGAATCGTCTTACGAACCAGGTCATTCAGGTAGATCATTCAAATGGATCATTTTGAGTTTCAGTACCTACTCTGTGATTTGTGAGGTCCGTTCGATAATGTCGGTTGTTGGACAAAACTATACCCTCTTTCAAGCTAAGATTTTTTTTAATATGTTTTTGCTTTCAAGTGGGTCCTATCAATCGCTTGATCCGGAATATCTTTTATATTATGACTTACTCATTACATTCTTACATTATAATCAATACTTTGATGCGAACCGTATCAAAGGAACGAATCATTCACGATTAAAACATGTCTAATGTGGATCTGGCGTATATATTTGATAGGTCAGCATAATTTAAGGCACATGAAGTTGACAACTGGATTAATTGCTTATTAGCGGTATCATTATTATCATCATTACAGCCCTTCACAAGTCCACTGCTGACCATAAGCCACCCACACCTATCTAAATAAATAAATAATGAATAAAAAGTATTTATTTGCCACCAAACAATACAACGTTAAAATTTAAATAGACAGCTTAATAATTAACTGTGACAAAACGGTCTGTGACTCAGTTGTAACGGGAAACCCATTAGTCCTGCTATTTTGCTGCCACAGCCTTTGCGCAATATCCATACATGATTTTGGGCAAGTGATGAAACACACGTATCATCAATAAATAAATCAATAAAAATTTAAACAACAAATAAATAATAGTTACTAAAATACGAAATACAAAAATACAGGAAGAGTCAGGAACTGTTGTTGAATCAGCCACTTGCGGCATCTTTGCCGGAAGGTATACGGAGATAAGGTAGACCGGACTGGTGGTGGCAAATCGTTCCAGATTTTAACAGCGGCGAATTTAAAATACCGCCTGGCTCCGGCGAGTCTAATTCTGGGTAGTGGAAGCCAATGACATTTGTCTCTGACCGAGAGCAAACTTTTTTGTTCAAGAGCTATCTTATCGTACAAATATCTTGGAGACGCTGCGTGATACAGTTTATGCAGAACGCAAGCATATTTTATTTTGGTACAATTGGACATATTTAAAATGCCATTACTGACTAAATAAGGTGAAATCCTATGCCTTTTCGGTATATTAAAACGAAACGGATGCATGCCGTTCTGCACTCTGTACATTCTTCGCTGTTTTTTTTTAATAAACAAGGACCAATCTACACTAATATCTTGCGTGCCTGCCCTATAGAGTCTGGGTTTCGAACTTACTGTGCAAGCCAATAATAATTACATGCGCCATGATCAGTTTTTCAAACTGCGCGTGGCGTTTGTGTCCTCAATCTTCATTTCAGGCATCGTTTTAAAGTGGTGAGGTTGGTGATACTTTCTACCATGGGAGAAACTCAAATAACAAAGTGATCGTTTACCGATACCGTAAAAGCCACTGCTGAACATAGGCCTCCCGCAAAGATTTTCTCATAGGGGTAATATCATTGAGTTATATGTACTACGTACTAGAGAAGCCATTCCCAAAAATAGACTATATTCAACTGAACTGTAGTGCAATCCATACAAACTAAATATTGCATAAATTGAAGATTTGTGAATTCCATAAAATAATAATTATTACATTTTATTTAGAAATATAATATGTTTGTTTAGATTAAATTAAGATACTTTATATTAAACTCTTATATTTGTTTTATATTAATATCTTATTTTATATCAAATTAAAGTCACCGCCCATGCGCGACTACTACTCCCGCGCATACGCGAAGACATAGAGTAGGACACAATTTTTGTTTGGAATGGCTTCTCTAGTACGTAGTACATATAACTCAATGGGTAATATGAAGAGATCTTAACACACTTGGTAGGGTTGGTAATCATAGTTTTTTTTTAATTTTCAGTTACTATTAGAAAAATCCTGCAACCCATTTCTGGGCTTGTTTTCCTTTGTTTAAATGATTGTTGATAAATACGAGAAGAATAAACGGTGGAAAATCAAAAACTATATAAAATAAAGCTAAACGTTATTTTAAAAATTGTTCAAACATGTAGTAAAATGATTTAAAAAAAAATTTAAATTCCTGAATATTTTTAGCACAAAATTACTAAATCTACTGAGCTCACTTGAACAGTGAAGTAAAAAAATAACAAAAAAGAAAATTTGTGATAGGCCCCGACGAGATTCGAACTCGTGATCTCCTGTTTACTAGACAGGCGCTTTAACCAACTAAGCCACGGCGCCTCCTGCGTGCAGATGGTAAATTAGTAATCCATACATCATCTCTGCATTTGTAAACAAGTCCAAATTACATAACCTCTAAAACACGTTTGTTTGCCCGAATTGTAATATGATAACGTTATACTAAAGCACAAAATGTGTTGCAATTACTGTGATGAAGTGTAAAATGATTTTAATCGCATAGACATATTATATTTTTTTATTTCTGTTCCCTGAATGAAACTTTGTGAAATCGATTAAAAATTTGTGAAGAATTAAATATATGTATTTATTATTCCTTCTTATTATTATAAACGAATTTCAAACAATGACTACATTTTAACATCTAAGAATTTTATACATTCAAAATATTTGTTATATCCTCTAAGAATTGAAACTGTACGTACATCATATTTAATGAACCTAACTATCGTACCATTTATTAATTTTATTACATATAAAAGCAACAAAAAAAACCTGTTATTATATTATGAACAACAAAATAAATGGCTACTACCTACTGTGAAATATAAAATGAAGAATAACCCTAATATAAATAAAGTACATAGTTCGTGGCTAAGTGTTCACCATTGCGAGCGACCCGGGTTTCATCGCGAAATTGTTAATTGTATATTTAGTGCTGATTTAACACGCGTTCGGTGGTGAGGGAAAAGATCGTGAGGAAACCTGTATGTCTGAGAAATTAAAAAAAATATGAAGTCTGACTATACGCAGCGCGCCGGAAATTTCTTTGCGTAAAATCCTCTCGTAAATAAAGGGCTGTGTACTTTACTTACATTTTACGCTACTAACACATGCAACGGAAAAAAAAACATGAATACGTCCTTAACTTTTAAATTGAATGGTCGAAACAAACCTATTTTACCTAAGATTACTAGAAAAAAATATAATATATAAAATTTAGTACGTACATAGATAAAACTTAACTTTTATATATCCATTTCTCCTAGGGTTGACTGGCAGAGAATGCCTTAAGGAATTAAGTCCGCCCATTGTAATTATTATTGTAGTATTACAATGAAGATTAAATAAATAAAAGCGGCTGTTGAACTGGTGACTGATGCTACCTAAATTTTTATTCCAGCTGTTAAATCACAATTAGGTTAGATTGTAGTCATATTCAAATATATGAATGTTAATGAGTAGAATAGAATAGAATTGAATATGGAATATAAAAATATTAATTTAATATTTTAATAGCCAGCAACATTTTTCGAATAATAGAAGAAGAATTATATTTAATATTATTCTTTAATAACTACTCGTTAATTAAACTTAAATGAACTACTTATATTCTTCAACAAAACTCATTAACGAACTAATTACTTCAGTTGGACCAACACCATGAAGTACGTGACAACAGCACCAAGCACCTGAAATAATATTACAATTTATAATAAATATTCAATTGTTAGCTAAGAAGAAAAAACTACACAAAGTAATCGCTCTGACAGACGGGGGCGTCGGCATCTTCTCACGGCTCACGGGACTCATAACGGTGAAACTTTAAAATTAGAAATCAATGTCTGGTACTCTAATAATAATACTATCAGAAGAAGAGTAGCTACACTACACAATAAAGCTACATAGATAGTCGTTTATTTATATCTTTACAGTACATATACTACCATTCGAAAATACGCTAAAACATCGATATATATGTACTACGCATTCCGAACATACACTATGTTCAACTGAACTGTACTGCAATCCGTACAGTGTGCCATTTAGTGCGGTTTCAATCTACTAGTTAGTCTGTGGCTTCAATATACATGCAGTGTGGAGCGGCGCTAATAATACAAGATTTCTATTTAAAGTTTAAATTAAAAAGTGACCGCGCAGGCGCAACGCTTTTAAATCAACTGCGTATGCGCGACTCTATCTCCCGCGCATACGCGAAGACATAGAGTATTGCACATTTTTTTGTTTAGAATGGCTTCTCTAGTACGTAGTACATATAACTCATTGCGGTAAAACAAATCACACAAATATATGCCGGGTATTATTTATGCATGGATGTAAGTGCACTGCTATTGTATTTCTACCGCCAAATAGCAGTGCTCGCACTGCTGTGTTCCAACCTGAAAAGGTACCTGTGGAATGCCAATATAACAGGCATTCTATCTTATTATTCAGAGGTGACAACGCATCTGTAGATTTTTTTGTTTGAAGTTGACCGCAGGTGTCCATGGGCTACAGTAGCCACTTTATCATATGGAGTGTAAGTTCGTATGGCTTCTTGTACCTTTTTTTTTCGCTGTACGAGCACCTCAGTTCGCGTATTTACCACAACGAAGCAAAATACATTCCGTTTCGGGATTGACGACAATGACCACTTCCAAACAATATTGTTAGTACAGTATATTTCTTTTGTTTAACAATCGATCCCTAAGTACCAACCTTAAAATTATATTGACTACGGAACCTAAGGTTAACGCAGTTAAATAAGCTTAAAATATAAAGAAAACAGTTAATGCTGTATATTTTTTTTTTACCGAAGCAAACAAGTCCAATGACACTGTGAAGAACTTCGCTCCTGAAATACTCATTGCCTTTTGACATTGTTGACACACTATTTGAACGAAAGTCTTTGCTTCTTCTGAACCATCGTACCATTGACAGGAGTAGGCTGCTTCCATCACTGATGAACTCTGTAAGATGGCACCATCATAACAAATATATTCATTAAAAATAATTCTTATTCTTAGCGTGCTAAAGTTTAATCTGCAATGGACACACTCACAGATTACTCTTACTTCTTAGTAACGTCCGTAGTTACGTCAAACTTAGATAACTCAGTTCATTCCTTGGGGTACTCCTTTTTTTATAGCATAGGGTGACCAACGAGCACACAGTCCACCTGATGGTAAGTGGTTGCTGTGGCCCATAGACATCTACATTTATCCTCGTTTGTGAATCAAAATGCAGATGCGTTGTCACCCGTGAGGGCTAAGATGGAATGCCTCTTTTACTGTAAAAAGGGTCTCCGGTACTCTACACTCACCATGCGAAACAGAACAGTGTTATGCTGCTATTTTACGCTGGTATTCTGTGAGAGCGTCCTTCCCCGGTCGAGCCGACCCATTCGTGATACAACTATACTATTAATATAGCTGCAGCATGCTGCATCGCTATTGTTATCTTTACTTATAATATGGTTGTAGTACATAATAGATCGGTTCGACATTTTACACTGAGTGTGGCGGTAACCCTGCCGAGCCGACTTATTCGTGCTACTCGATGTAATACAAATAATTAAATATTGGGATAGAATATAAAATTCGAAATACATTATTTAAGCAATTACTGCATAGTCATTTACAAGAAATATTCACACATAACTGTATTTCTAAAACATAGATGCCGAGTCGTGTACATCGGGACATAAGCTCCTCCATAAAGGAATGAAAAAATCACTGTCTTGTCCATCGACGTTCTGCGTGCCTTACCAGAGTGTCATTCTACCTAGTGGAGAGCCGTTATGCTTACCGGTAATTTAAAAAAGATTATTATAAGTACTAATATTCGACGGAGAGTATAATATACATTTAATATGTACATTTTTTTTTATAGGAGAAACGAGCATGCGGCTCACCTGATGGTAAGTGACTACCGCCGCCCATGAACAACTGCAACACCAGGGGAATCGCAGATGCGTTGCCGGCCTTTTAAAAAGGAGTACGCTCTTTTCTTGAAGGTCCCTAAGTCGTATCGGTCCGGAAAAATCGCTGATGGTAATCGATTCCACAAGGAGGTCGTGCGAGGAAGAAAACATCTTCTAAATCGCACAGTGGTGGACCGCCAATCATCCAGATGGTGTGGATGGTATCGGGAGTTCTGCCGCGATCTGCGTTCGTGAAATTTGGCGGCTGGGATTAATCCGAACAATTCCTCAGAGCACTCCCCATGGTAGATGCGAAAGAAAATGCAAAGGGATGCAACATCTCTTCGCAGTGCCAATGAATCGAGCCGATCGGAAAGGGCTCGGTCCTCGACAATTCGAGCCGCTCTGCGTTGGATGCGGTCAAGTGGAAGGAGCTGGCACTGGGGAGCCCCTGCCCAGAGATGGGAACAGTATTCCATGTGAGGCCGAACTTGCGCCTTGTAAAGTAGCAGGCGGTGTGCCGGCATGAAATACTGTCCCGCTCTGCTGAGCACGCCAAGCTTTTTAGAGGCCAATTTGGCCTTTCCTTCCAAGTGACCACGAAACTGCACGTCACTCGATATGTCGACTCCGAGGATACCGATACTGGCTGAGGCAAGAAGGGGAGTGCCTTGAAACTGAGGAGATACGACAAAGGGATTCTTTTTAGCGGTAAACGCGCAAACTTGTGTCTTCTGAGGATTAAATTGGACTAGATTTAGTCGCCCCCAATCCGAGACTTTGTTCAGCAAAGACTCGACTTCAGACACAAGTTTGTTCCGGTACTCAGCGACGTTTTCCCGAGAAATATTGGCACGGCCGGTGTATAGAGCATCACCAGTGCTGTCATCCGCATAGCAATGAATGTTACCAGTTAGCAACATATCATTGATATGCAGAAGAAACAGCGTTGGTGATAGCACACAGCCTTGTGGAACACCAGCGTTAATAGGCTTGTAGTCAGAGCATGCACCGTCTACTACGACCTTGATGCTCCGATCTGCAAGGAAGCTGGTGATCCAATTGCACAATTTCTCGGGAAGCCCATAGGAAGGGAGCTTCGAAAGAAGCGCTTTGTGCCAAACCCGATCGAAGGCCTTCGCAATGTCCAGACTAACGGCCAACGCCTCCCCCTTGGACTCTACTGCCTCCGCCCATCTATGGGTCAGGTAGTCCAGAAGATCACCAGCTGATCGACCCCGACGAAAACCGTATTGGCGGTCACTAATCAGCTGGTGATCCTCAAGGTACCGGATGAGCTGGCAGTTAATAATGGATTCCATTATTTTGGAGAACAAGGAGGTGATCGCGATAGGCCTATAGTTGGATGGGTCTGAGCGGTCGCCTTTTTTAGGGATCGGGTGGACAAAAGCTGTCTTCCATGAATTCGGGACTACGCCTTGGGAGTAGGAGTACCGGAAAAGACGCGTTAGGACCGGTGCCAACTCCGGAGCACACGTCCTCAGCACAATTGGGGGGATTCCGTCAGGCCCACTCGACTTCTGGATGTCCAGGGAGAGCAGTGCTTTGCGAACCGAGCGCTGTGAGAACAGCATAACATGATTAATGATTTCTTATATTATCGCGAACACTACATATTACATGAAACAAAATTTTGGTTATTAACACGTTTAATTTTAACTTTTTAATACCCGACATTTTTCCACCTGAAGCACCCGAAACGTCGCGTCGGGAATTTAAAAGTATTTTTTTTTATAGGATAGTCTACCTACCACCAACCTGGTACCAACATCGTAAGTGGTTGCTGTGACCCATAGATATCTACATCTATCCTCAATAAAGAATCAAAATGCAGATGCGTTGTCACTCGTGAGGACTAAGATGGAATGCCTCTTTTCCGCTAAAAGAGTTTTCAGTTCTCTACACTCACCATACGAAACAAAAAAAAATCCAAAAATTTAGTTTCATTTAATGTACATGATTATTTTATTTGTGTGAGAGATAATTTAAGTTTAGAATTATCACTAAGTTATTATCAGCTATTTTACCTCTTCTATTAATCTGTTACCAAAGATACAGAAATGAAAAACTTGTCCAAGCGTGTAACCCAAATACCCAAGGGTGCTAAAAGCATACACATTTATTCCGTCGATCTGCAATGTTAGATATATTATATTAATTAAAATTGCATTGGGGCAAATATTTCAATTGTGAGATAAAAATTATCTTTAAATTAAGTATAACCTCCCTGAATATAAAAGGGGAAACTACGGAAATATTTTATTAAAACAAATGTCATTTTTAATTTGTTTATGTTGTATTTTTTTTTTGTATTTGTTGTATATTATGTTATAGTGTAGCGGCGGTGTAAGAATATAAACTACCACATATAATGACGTTGGTATCGTAAGAGGTGACAGAGGGAAACAAATCAGGAGATACAAAACATAAAAAAGGCGGTTGCCAAATGCCAACTCGCTTGCCGAGCGTAGCCACTATAGGAAATATATACAATCTATTTGGAATCCTAGGTTCAGCGGTGGACTTTAAAATGGATGGTCTGTTTTGTACTTAACTGGTTAGGTACAAAACAGACGTTAATAGGCTGTAATGGTAACGTCTTATGAATAACTTTTCTCAATAATTGTAAAAATGCTCTTTAGTAATTATTATAAGTACCACAGTAAAGGAGTTTACAGTCTTCAATATTCTTATCGGGTTGAAATTAATATTATGTTTCATACATTAAAAGAAACTTACATAAGTACCTACAGTGGAATTGATCGAACCGCTCTTTTTTAAATAAATTAAAAAAATTAAAAAATGAGTTACTATATTATTTATATTGGAAGAAAGTATCAAATGCAATAACATAAAAAATAAAATAATTTCTTTTTTGTTCTTGAAGTCGGATTTTATTAAAAAGTTAGATTATTTTACCCGTTTAAGAAGAAATATCTTAATTTAATTAAGCTAAAGGTAACAACTAGAAATTCGTTTAAATAGTTACTTATACACCATTAGCGATGATTTTTTCTCTTAAAATATATATGCGACCATCCCCAAAATTTAATAAAAAACTAGCTATCCCCTCTGGCTTCTTACAGTTGATTTCTGGATCTCGGCAACAACGCTACCTACCGGGTCCAATTGTGAATCACGTACAAAATTTCATCAAAATCGGTCCAGCCGTTTAGAAGGAGTTTAGTCACACACACACGAACAGAAGAATTATATAATATACAATATGCATTTATTATACATATAAATCATTTTGTCTATTGATGAAAACTGCATTAAAATTAGTTGCGTAATTAGACAGCGGGAAGCGACTTTGTTTTATACTATGTAGAGAAGCATCATTAGTTCAGAATTCAGATATTTCCGAGAAAGCGTTGAATATATTATGTATATTATGTACCTAAAAAACATACGCGTCGAATACAGTAGTTTGTCTTGTTTCGGAATGGTTTTTGGATATCGATTAAATACATTTTACTTACAAAATAACCTTTTTTACTGTATGCTATTTTAAATAGTTTATATAGATTTATTATGACATATTTCATTATATCTTACCAGGTCGTCACTCCATCTAGTGGGGGGACGCCCTACACTTCGCCTGCCGGTACGAGGCTGCCACTCGAGAACCTTTCTTCCCCATCGGTTGTCGGTTCTTCGAGCTATATGGCCGGCCCATTGCCACTTCAGCTTACTAATCCGTTGGGCTATGTCGGTCACTCTAGTTCTACTGCGGTAAGATAATGGTATGATATGCAGGAAGTCGATGGATGCAGGTGGCTCAGGACCGTGCTTTGTGGCATTCTTTGGGGGAGGCCTATGTTCAGCAGTGGACTTGTGAAGGGCTGTAATGATGATGATGATGATGATGATTTCATTATATAATATAATTATCTGCAGCAACTACATTAGAAGTTATTATAAATATTGATTTAAAGTTGATTTAAATCGCAAATTGTAAAATCTTAATATGTGATTTTTAACCGTTTCACTGGAATAGGATACTTAAGTGATATTTAAAATACCTTTGTTGCCTGGTAAGCTAGCAAAGTTAGCGTAATCGTCGACACCAACATATGGAACAGTAAAGCAGTACCATAGGTATCTCCTATGGAAGCCACCAACCTAAAAAAGTAAATGCAGTCAACACCTTTGAATAAATAAGGTAACAAAAAATCTGAAGAACATAAACCTCTTAAGAAGTTGCGTTAAAAATTAATGTAAATTAAAGGTATCAAAGTATAATTCAATAACTTACATCATATTTCCCTAATAGTATTTTGTGTTGACATAATATTATATCCTCAAGTTCAATAATAGTGCTCCGTGGCGCAGTGGCTTAGCAATGAGTTGCAGCGCTAAGGGCCGCGGGTTCGAATCCTCCACGGAACAAGTATGTATTTGTATGGCCTACAACTAATTGTTCAGGGTCTAGATGTTTGCCCTTGTGAAATTTATGTATGATACGGAGATAACGTTTAAAAAAATATATATGTATAAGTTACAGACTGAAACTAGAAAGGTTAATAATTATAACATAATATTTACAAAGGCACTTCGTGCATTTCAAGTGACGCAAAGACAAAATCATGCCCAACAACTTAATGTAAGAACACGCACTCTTGTATACATAGCGATCTTAAATCATTTAAAATCAACCATAGCTGGGCAACGTTAAACGAATAATTAACTTCGTTAATCGCTAATCCGTCACTAAAAAAGTTAACTACTTTAAACGTTTAAACGTTACATTTCAGAAGATTTAATGCAAATTAACGTTAAGTAACGTTAACACGTGATTAAAATTGCATTTTTTATATCATTGCGCTAATGATCTACTTATAAAATCTGTTAGTTTGAATTCTGGAAGTTAACAGGTTAGGTACAAAAAAGACGTGTATAATTGGAGTGTGTAATTTAATTAATCTGTCATCACGTGGATATTGCCCTTCATGAACATTAATATGTTGAAGTTCTCGTCTGAAAGCGAGGCTCGCTTTGTCGTTAAATATCTTTGCCCATGGAAATGCAGCGCTTGAGGGTACATCAGTATTATATTTAATAAATAGATTTACGAACATATGTTCTCCGAGTAAAGCCGTATCGTTAAACGAGTCTTTTGATTTCATGTCTGCCACAGTTTGACGAGATTTTGAGCTTTATTTATACTCTTTAAGATCTGTGGCTTTTAGGATTTTCTTTAGACTGAGACAGAATTGAAAAACTCTTCTTCCCCATTGTCGTCGTGGTTACTATCGTTGCTGCCTCCACCACTTAAACTATCCCTGTCCTTCGAACTTTCGGAAGATTCTTGTCGTAAAGCCTCTTCTACCTTTTTTATCCATGCATTTTTCTACTGCTTCCACTCGACTGCTGTCATACGTTTCCAGCTATCAACCGGAACTTCGGGTAAAAAGTCGCGGCAAGTTCGTACTGTTCGTCGTCCAGATGTGGTATAAACCTTTTCTCTATGTCATTTAATAAGGCATTGGCTAAAGCTGTGCAATTTCCTAGGCCCTTAGACTTTATATTTTTTTAATTTAAGGACAGTTGTTGCAATTCTCGGTAGGTAACAGTGACCCGAGGTATGTTTAAGCTTCTTGAATACGATCGAGGGCATTAGCGACAGGTGCCATAACCTGTAATAAATAAATAGATATAAATAACATGATATATGGAAATATTTGATGTTAATTTAAAATATGTATAAGTACATAAATTTACCTTTGCATAATTTATTTTATTTATTTATTTAACAATTTATGTACACACAAAATAATGTTACAAGGAAGAAGAAAAAAAAGATATTTTGTACAAAGGCACTGCTTATTTCATATTGAAATTTCTTCCAGCAGGCCTGATACTGGACAAATTAAAAGAGAAGCCTATCTAGTGTGCACTCTCATAATAAAATTTTATAATATTAATATACTTAACATAAAGTAAAGATAATAAAAACAAATATCCATGTAAACATACATATAAATAAATACCACTACAAATACATATACACACATACACACACACACATATATATATATATATATATATATATTACATATATATATATACAATAATATATTATATATATAATCATTGGGACAACAAAGAAAGATAGTGCTCTTTGACTCGCCTTTTGAACACGGACACTGATTGAGCCTCTCGAATTGCAGCAGGAAGAGAATTCCATAACCTAACTGCATGTACTGTAAAAGAGTGAGAATAGGACTTAGTTTTAGAGGAAGGGAAATTTAGGAGGGTTTTTAAATGTGATCTGCAAACTGCATCGGGGGAGTGCGCAAAGTGGAATCGATCACGTAGATAGGGTGGTGATGTTGGATTGTATAGTATGTTAAAGAGGAGGCATAGGATTCGGGTAGTCGGATTGGGAGCCACTTGAGCTGTTTGCGATAGGAGGAGACGTGGTCATACTTTTTTAGTCTGAAAATATAACGAATACATAAGTTTTGCAAGCGCTCAAGTTTGTTTAATTGCTCCTCAGTCGTATCCAAATAACAGACATCAGCATAGTCAAGAATCGGGAAAATAAGTGTTTGGACAAGAGAAATCTTCGTTGATAACGGCAGAAAATGTTGAAGGCATTTTAAGGAATGAAAAGTATAATAGATTTTCCTGCTAATTTCTGTGATATGTGCATTCCTTGTCAACTTGCAATCCATGATGGTGCCCAGATTCTTAACCGTTTCTGAAATGCTTAGTGGAATGCTATTAATTTGCAGAGTTGGCAGTGAAGAAAAGTCAAGTAATTTACGAGTAAACCTGGTGCCTATAATCATTGCTTGTGATTTTTTAGGGTTTATAACAAGTCCGTATGATCTAGACCACTCATCGATTTTATTTAGATCGTTATTTATTTATCAAATAATGCTGAATTTGCTTCAGTCACTAGAAAATGACGATACAGCTGCAAATCGTCTGCATAGAGATGGAAGTTTGAAGATATCACCTGGGTGATACAGTTGATAAAGATGGAAAAAAGTAAAGGAGAAAGGACGCCACCATCCTTCAGTACGCTCATATTTTGGTCATTGAAAGTTGGAACTTTTAGCTGAGTCATAACTCTGTAAAAATATGGCCTTATTTTTTCCAATATTCCATTGAGAACGACAATAGCATTATACATAGTGTTCCACCTCGTTTCACAATCAATCAAACTAATCATACGTAATAGTATGAATCAAATTTCTTCGCAGTTTTTTTTCTCACTCATTCGCACCGGCATAATAATTAATTTAATACCTAGGTAATTAGTTTCGTTTCACTCGCGGCACGTGACGCGCCGCACTTGTCGACCGGCCCGAACTTACTTGTCAGAACTCAGAACGTATTTTTCACGGCGGCGGCGGCGTGGCGTGTCGAGGTGCTTAGTAAATAGTAGGTACTGGATTAACGATTAACGGATTGAGAAAATTTAACGGATGTTAACCAGTCCGTTAACATTCTTTAAAGTTAACTGAAAAGTCAATTCGTTATTCGAAATGTTAACTTCGTTAATGAACGATTAACGGAATAACGAGTTATTGCCCAACTTGTTAATTGCATAACAAAATGGTTTTGTATGCATATGTGTACGGCATAATAAAATCCCTTGTCCCTTTGTTTCTACACGTGCACAAATTTCACCTAAAGGTAATTGATTCTGTGCCCCATAGACGTTAACACCTATCCTCGATTAAGAATCAGACTTGCGTAAAAATGCGAAAAAAATGCGTCGTCAAATCTAAGGTCTGAGGTGGAATGCCTAGTTTTCATTAAAAAATTAGAAGTAAAGAGTGTCTCTAGTTCTCTACATACACCTTACGAAACACAGCAGCATTATGCTGGTACTTTACGTTGTTGTTCTGTTAGAGGGTGTCCTTACCCGGTTGAGACAACCCATTCGTGCCAACCCCGTAATATAGCTGCTAATGGCTCTACCACAAACGATGATAGTATTAATTACTTTTAGCAACATTATGCCAAAGAAATAGTACACTGTAAGAATTCATAGGTTTTTCTGTTCTTCCCATGTGGTAATGCTTGTTTTGCCGTTACATGACGGCGTAAGAGAATCCACTACTTCATATTTATCTTACCGTGGGTGTCATGAGAGGTTTTATAGCGAAACTGAAACAAGAGATTGCCTTGAGTAGCATCTTCACAATAACAACTCATTATTGTCCAAATACTCAAATGCAACTCTAATTTAGGATGTCGTTAAGTCTCGTGCTGTCTCTATCACTTTAAGTCAAAGTGACTGTGACACCACGAGACTTAACGACATCCAAAAATACTGTAGCATTTGAGTATTTCGACATATAATTTTTTTTTACAATCGACTTCAATATAAATAAAATGAAAACATCATCAATGTAGTCGAAGTTAATTAAGTACGTATTAAAGGATAACTCAAAAACTACTGGTTAGATCTTGATCTTTATATGGGACCACATGAAAAGCACTAGCTTTCAAATAAAAGAGATATATCAAAATCGGTTCACACAGAAAAAAGTTCTTAGGTAACACACATAAAAAATACCGTCGAATTGAGAACCTGGTCCTTTTTTGACGTCGGTTGAAAATAAAAATGCTTCCATTGTCAACTCGCCTACTAAACGTGACAACTATGGCAAATATCGAATTATATAAGAATATGAGATTAATTCAATATAAGAATTATGGAAGAGGCCTATGTTCAGCAGTGGACTTTCCATGGGCTGTCAAGAATCAACGATTGAATATATAATAATAGGTTCATTATATTTTATACGTGGTAGAGCCATGCTGCATCTATATTAATAGTATGGTTGTAGCACGAATGGGTCGGCTCGACCGGGGAAGGAGCACGCTCTCACAGAATACCAACGTAATATAGCAGCTTAACACTGCTGTGTTTCGTATGGTGAGTGTAGAGAATCGGAGACCCTTTTTACTGGAAAAGAGGACTTTTTTAAGGACTAACCTCACGGGTGACAACGCATCTGCATTTTGATTTGCAAACAAGGATAGATGTAGATGTCTATGGGCCACAGCAACAACTTACCATCAGGTGGACTGTGTGCTCGTTTGTCACCCTTATCTATAAAAAAAATATTATGTGAAGAAACATATTCTAATATAATTTTATGGAATATCGACACCGAAATTAATTATATATGTACCTTTTTTTTCGAATCCATAATTAAATTTATGTATCTCATACCTTACGACGTGTTTATGGCGTTCAACCCAATATTTAATAGCTGATCTAGCCAACAACTCCTGTTTCTGAGTTAGCCCGTTTGGATTGTTTGGAGTTGGTTGGCCAAAGTTTTGAAGTCTTCCTCCAGCGCCCCGTAATGTTACTCCAAAATCTTGCTGAGTGGAATAAATGCCTCTAATATCTAAATCCACCGTATCAGGAATCTTCTCAGATTTTTCTGTTGAACACAATACTTAAGATAAAATATATCGAAATATAAATCCGTATGTCTGATAGTCAGGTAGTCCAACTCCAAAATGCAGAAGCGTTGTCACCTCTCCGGATTAAAATGGAATGAATATAAATGTAATATAATTAATAGCATCAGGCGTTACTTTGCGGAAACTCATTATATTAAAGACTAACTGTTTTTGCGGGGCAATTTCGCCTGCGTGTAATTTGGGGTTTTAATTTTGTTACGTGGAACCCTAATTATTTTTTCTAAAATATAAGTAGTCTATGTTACTCCTTATAACATGACCTATCTACCAGTGAAAGTCCCGTCAAAATCGGTCCAGCCGTTTTGGAGATTAGCCTGAACAAACAAAGAACAAACAGAACAGACAGACAGACAAAAATTTTAAAAATATTATTTTTGTTACAAGTACCGTATATATTTCCTTCGTTGTTTTTAGTTCTTGGAAGATTGTTTTTGTATTATTATTTAAGGTTAATTACCTGGTGTATTTTTTATGAGATTTTAGCGTATAGTGATCAGATTTGTCAAAATTCCTTTTACGTTCTTGCATCCACGCAGCTGACAACTTTAAAGTTGTATACTAGAAGATAATATCCTGATAGTGACCGAACAGAAGTACAGAATGGTCAATTTCAAGATGGGATATATAATTTAAGTAAAATTTGAGCACCTGTTGAAGAAGCGCGAAATAACTCAGCAGTATTCGGTCGATAAGTATCAAGAGAAGCGCTCAGTTCCATAAGTGGTTTCATGATGGCCTTGAGGTGTTGTAGTTGCTCACACGCGAAAATCAACCAGCTGCAGAACATCACATCCAACAGATTGGCAATCGCCATGGAGAAAAGAAGCCAGTAAACCTGTTAATAATGCATAATTATTTTAAGGCAACGAAAAAGATGAAAAATAATGGTAAAAAATTCTCAGATAAAAATATTCATGGGTATTTATTTGGTAGTTAGTGTTTCACTGGTGTTGTATGCACGCAAAAGAGTTCTTCTTGCATGTCTTACAAGTCCATAGGGGCCATCCCATATTCCGCTTTCTATTACAAGGCGGCCATTCTAGAATTCCCATTCTTTTTTATTTCTGCATTCAGCTCGCATGATACTCGTATACTCATTGCAACATTAACTTACTGATCCGTTAGGCTATGTTGGTTACACAGGTTGTACTGCAGATATTATAAATTATATTACGCAGAATGAACGAAACACTGAATATAGCCCTCTCGTAAACACACTGAGTGACCTTAATCATCCTTGTATAGTCAACGGTGAAGGACCACGTCTCATATCCGTATTTCATCACTGGCAACACGCGCTGTTAGTTAATCTCTTGTTTTAACGTTTTAAGGAATACACGATGAGAAGGTGTGTCGTAATTTCCCGATCACTGCGCAGCATAGTTGAATCCATCATTGGACCTCTTGGTTTGTGTATGTTTGATAAACATATTCGTCAACAACTTAAAGCGCAGTGTTTCCAACAATTACCCGTTTAGGTGTTCTTTACACATGACGTTCGTCATGTCCATTTTCATCTTAAAACCTATCTTTTGAGTGACACTATTGGGGTCACTGAGCATAGGTCCTAATACGGTCCTCTGTGATTCAGCTATTATTACTATTTCGTCGGTTGATAGAAGGGAAGTGAAGGATGTGTCATTGGTGCTAACATTTAATCCTTTTTAGTTCAATAACTTGAAAATGATTTCCAATGCATCGGTGAAGAGTTTAGAGTTCTAGATATAAAGTCACCTATCTATTACTACTCTGCAGTTTGACAGGTTTCGTCCTTTGGTCCTGTACACGGATAGCTATCGAAGCATTATGATACAAAAACTAAAAAATTGAAGTATACCAACACTCAATTTGACACCGTTAAAGAGACTGTCGCACCACCTAAATTGCGAAGAAATCAACGGCATTCATTCTAATGGTCCACATACAAGAATTAATTCTTCGGTTTACTGTAAAATTTATTGAAGGGTATGTATGTGGTATATGATGTATACTTAAACCTTATTGGATATTCAAAAAGCTAGTTTTTCGGAAGGCTCGATTGTCAAGTCAGCGTACATAATAATTTGTAATGGCTCCGAACGGAAATTGGCCTGTATATTTTTTAGGGCGTTGTTGCCTTTCTTGGAGAAGACAACCACCACACTTGTGATTTATGCTTACGGACTATAATGGAAGACGGAATAGCAGGCTTTAAGTACCCGTTTACCACCTGCTTTTAGAAGCTCTGCATTAATTCTATCCTCGCCGGACACGGCGTGAAAGTCCAATGAGATTTGCTCTTGAGTCAGTTACCACACTTGGGTATGGCTCCAACGACGATGTGTACAGCCGTCCGCAGAACCTCCCAGTCTCGTTAGAAATTCAATAATTGACACTACCATAGTAAACTATTCTTCTAAGACTGTTAGCCCTCTTCCCGACAGATAGATCACTGGCGAAGTCATTGGTGCCTTGGTTAAACTCAATCGCTACTTTAATACGAGGAACACATGTATCTGTTGAGTTACACGCTGTCTAAACTGTTGAAGACAGCAGTCATTTCCCATCTAACAGTCATGATATTAAGAGCATCATGGGAGATTTTTGAGATCTTTTGCGACGGCTCTTGTAAAATTAGCTACGACCGCAAGGGCAGTTTCCACAAGCTCGTCATTTATACCATCCATCGTCGCATTGCAATTTTTCAGCTACTGAAAACGATTTTATAATTCGAGCTGAAGGATTTTGTGGCTTTGGAGAGCACGAAGGAGATCGAGCGTATTAGAATGGATAAATCATATGCTCCAACATAATGTCAAGGTATAGTTTATTCTTCATTATTTGGGATCGATGCCAGTTTCACTCTCGTGGTTACTGAAACATCACTGAACAGTTGTCGCTTGGTCGTCAAATGAAGTTAGCGTAGCTCATTGGACCAGTTCCACTTTTTACATCTTGAAGAAATGGATCATCTTTAAGATGATCCATGATCTTTATGAGTAGCAAGTTCTCCATAAGCTATCAGTTAGGTTCTAAGGTCCTTTTCAAGATATCCTTTGTCCCGATGTACCTTTTCATAATTTTTCGATCTTCAGCTCTCCATATATCCTTGCGTCTAGTTTCGCATTGAACATTAAATTTATTATCATCAAAATAACACAGTTTAAGAAAACATATAAAGATTTACTCTTTTAATACAAAAGTAATTATAAGCCTGTACTCGTACAGCTTATATGTAGCTTAGCAAGCTATTAACTATAGTCAATTACTTTGATCCCTTCGTTTCGTTTCTAACCACGTCGAAGATAGCAGATATCGTGTTAAAAACAAGGGTTTTGTATATTATTTATTCAATACTTAATTTAAAATTTATGTAAAAGTAAACACATAAAAAAGCCATACCTGAAATATAAAAGCTGCAACGTACATTGTGCCACTCATTGCATTAAATGGGTACCAAGCTTTTATTGGCAATCTTGGAGCAGGCTCCGTCAGAGTTTCGTTTGTTTCCTTGTTTGTAATCAAACGCACTGACTCTCCAAAGAATGTTATTGTAACCCAACCTGTACAATTTATGATTATATTTTTAAAAATATTCAACTAAACTGGCCGTGTAGATGTGATGTGATATATATCAATACCTCATCCCGTGGTTGTCATAATAGGCGACAGAAGGAAAATTGAAACAGGAGAAGACTAGCATTATGTTCTCTCAAAATTTGAAAAAACTCCGACTGCCAACCTAGGCGTGGCAGCTAAGGCAATAATTCTCCTGTGAGGCAAAATACATTGGAGGAATATGTTCATTAGTAGACTTTGGCTAGACTGTAATGAAGATGTAGATGATAAAACTGGTTACTGACGTTTTCTAAGTTTCAAAACAGCTAATGCTCTCCCTTTTTCGGGTTAATACTTGTGCATTGAGTACGAATGTGTTCTATTTCTTATGCAGTCATAATAAAATTTAATCATGCTACTTATGATAACAGAACTCTACAGTACGAAAAAACTATGACAAATCGTTTGCTTACAGACATTTTAAACAAGCGCCTCTTAAGGCGTTTCCCTGACCAAATAACCTTGAGCATGCAGTGCACTGCCTCTGCACTACCTCTGTACTGCACTCTGCGTACGCCCATTTTTCATAGAATTCACACAATTTTTTAATTAAACAAGAAAAGAGAACTTTAAAAGTTAAACAAAACGTGAATAATATAGATTTTTAAATTATCTATCCATTAGTGTAATTCTCAAATAATTAGAGCGTTGCCTTTAGCAATAGATACATGTAATCAATAATTTTAGTCAATTTTTAAAGGTAGATTTTAAATTTATTTATAACACATAAAAACAAATTAGAACGTGGAATGTGATGATAGAACATCGAACATTAATAATGTGCTTTTAGATGTAGTTTATTTCTCATAACTAATGAGATAATAATCTCTGAATAACGAAGAAAAACACACTATCGCAAGGTTTTGGTCGTGGTATTGCCTTAAATTTACGATAATAACCTTTAAGCCACCAACTAAAGTACCAAGTACGGTGCATAATCTTCCCAATTTAGAGGATTTGCAATAATCGTCACGCTTAGACAGACAATTTGTATACAACCCCTGCGAATTAACTAGGCACCACGCTATAATACGACCCCTCTCTCGCTTTGCAGTACTGTATGAGTGACGTCATAGTGCTAGGTGCGTAGTTAAATCGCACGGGTTGTATTTTGTTATTATCAGAAGCTATGCATCATTGATGTTTAATAAATTATAGTATTAATCAGAGTTACCACGCCATGTTTCAGTATTTTATTTCCAAGCATTATATCAAGTCAACTTTACGACGTTTTCGAGAGGAGATGACAAGATGGCTTTCATTGTTTATAGAGTTAATAAAAAACGAAATTAAGAAGTCAATTTCTTACAAACAACACTGAGTACAGTTATGGCGCAGATAAAGTACAATAATCTTCTCATCTTGGTAAGAGCCAATTGATGATATCTTGCATCTGATTCGGTGAAAAGTGGGTGGCTATTCGATTGATTCCACATTGCCAAGGTCCTGAATAAAGTATTAAGTTTTAATATATATAGTAATATTATTTAAATATAATGAGGATGTAAGAAGTGTTTATTTTTCGCTTAGATGTTGCCCGTACACAATTTTATATTTCTTTTTTTTAATATTAAAGAAAACGACATGGTTATGCCGCAATTTGTCGGAATCATTGCCTTTACGATACCCAAGGGACGATCAATTGCTGGATTCATATACGCCGTTTTTACACGGACATATTCTTTAAGAGTAACTTTAAATAAAATGTGATTTAGCTTCCTATAATTTCCTAATGATTAAACAATTAATTTTAATAATCTGTACAATATACTAGATATCTAGATATCCTAGTAGATTTTTTTACAACTTACCTATAAAAACTCTTAGAGTTGAGGGCAAAGAATAACAACTTAATAATTGAATGAGCAAAAAACAGCACGGTAATTGTATTAGCAGTGAGCTCGTTGACTTCATCTGAATATTGAGCCATATTGACGCCCATGCATAAATATTGGATGACGATGAGGATAGCATGGACACAAGCGTAGATTTTACGGAGGAGTACGGACATTCCACCATTTTCTGAAAATTTAAATAGATTTATTCTGGTGAAACAAGCCATTTTTATGTCATTACATGCAATAAAATAACCAGAAAAAAACCATTAAATAATTTTATGGCTTACTTGGCTTACCTTCACTCTCAGCTACCTATTAAAGACTTTTTGTTCAATACTACAGAATAGATTTTTATGAAAACTGAATTAGGTATCCATCCCATTAATTGGAATTGGTATAGCTGTAGCACGAACGGATCGGCTCGACCGGTGTAGGACCACGCTCTCACAGAATACCAGCGTGAAATAACGCCTTAATGCTGCTGTGTTTCGTATGGTGGGTACAGAGGTCCGGAGACCCATTTTACTGGAAACGAAGCATTCCATCTTTTTTTTTTTTTTTTTTTTTTGTTTTTTTAAAAAAAAACGTTACTCCCACACTAGGATTTTCTCCTGTGTCGTGGAGGCAGTTTACAAACATAAATTGCACAAGGACAAACATCCAGACCCGGAACAATTATTTGTAGGCCATACAAATACTTGTTCCGTGCGAGATTCGAACCCGCGGCCCTCAGCGCAACAACTGATTGCTAAGCCACTGCGCCACGGAGCCGTCTTAGTCCTCAGGAGTGAAAATGCATCCGCATTTTGATTCTTAATTGACGATAAATGTTAATGTCAATAGGCCACAGCATCTATTTACCATTAGGTGGACTGTATGCTCGTTTGTCACCCATGTTCTATTAAAAAAAAATGTCTCATGGGTCAGTGGCTTAGCATTGAGTTGCGGTGCTGGGGGCTGATGTTGGAAGCCCGTACGGAACAAGTGTTTATACAGCCTACTAATAATTCTTCCGTGCCTTAATGTTTATCCTTGTCTTATTTATGTGTGTAAACTGCCTTTACGGTAGAGGAAAATATCTATAGTGTGGGAGAAAAATTCGTGAAAGAAAATCTAACATCGATGAAAGAAAATAGATTAAAGACTTAAACTGCAACGTGGATCTACCACATAAATGTAAAACCAACAATCATTAATCATCATTACCTACAGCCCTTAATAGCTAATAAAGCTATATTTATACATAAGGAATTTCATTTCTCGTTTGTTACCGTTTATTCAATTTACCTGAGTGGTAATTGAACAAAAAATGTCCAGCCATTTGCATCAGTTTGATGTTTGGCATCAAATCCGACACAAGACCTTGCGTTTTCATTTTGTTCATCATCTGAAAAACCATCACAATTATTCATACCTGATACATATATATCAAATCTTACGTTACATGATGTATTTTGTCTTTAATTACCTTGATTTAGTTTAGATTGCGGTGTTACCAATATTAATGAAATCGTTTTTTTTTTTAAATATTTATCGAAAGCTTTAACCTTTGCCGTGAAACAATTTCTTTAAAGATTTTTTCCAATTATTTTTTGAATGTGCGAAACGTCTGCTTTAAATGCTTACAAATAGCCTAGTGATTGATTTTTATCCACTTTTATAATAAAATTTTCTACTGACGTGTTTCAATTTCAAAGTCACACACTTCAATATGGTAGGCAAGGGGGACGTGAGATCCAACAGATGCCTTATCGCTCGAACACCCGGTCATATTCCTTTCTTTAATTTATTTATACGTCTTTGCTTGTGCTACTTCAATACACCTATTTTAATTAAGGAACTTTTGTATAAAATCATTCTTTAATGGATCGATGTTGTAGGTTGTTTGCTACCAAAGCGATAAATGTTTGTACTGGTCATATTTGCCAGCCCTTCTTTACTTTTGATTGTTGTCAGTATTTGCACGATATTTAACTTTCACTTCGTTTCATGTTTGATTTCAATAGTCCTACAGCTTACATGTTTGTTGAATTCGCAGTAAATTATTGATATTAATAATTTTTTTGCCGATTTCAAAAGAGGACGAATTTTATTTAATGTTTGTTACGCGATATATTCGTAATTTCTAAATCGATTTTGATGATTATTTTTTTATTAAATAGTTATTTTTTATTATATATATGTACAGTCCCATTTAATTTTTTTTAAATCCTCTATTAAATATGGCCAAATAGCGGATGAACTTTTAATGTAACGATTTAAGCGAAATTGAGATTGTGATACCATCTCAATGTCGTTTAAATTAGTCAACTCAAAAGGGTAATCTTTTAACAAAAAGTAAGAGCTGACTTCAAAAAACTTAGAAGGCTAAAATATTTTTAACCTGAAAAAAGATGATGTTCTCAATTCGAGTGTATGTTTTTTTTATGTATGTTACGCGATATCTTCGCAGATAGTGAACCAATTTTGATGATTCTTTTTTTTATTGAACAGGTTATACTTCAAGGATGTTCTCATATTAATTTGGAGAAAAAATTCTACCCCTAAGGGTAGCAAACAAATAACTTCTTTTTTAGCAATTTGAAGTCGGTTTTTACTTTTTGTTGAAAGTTATAATTAATACACGTTCTGAAATCGGGGCTTTTATACTTGTCTTTTCTTTTTAAATGTAATTTATTTAACCAGTTTTAGTGCTTCGAAGTGGACTTTTATTTTTTATTAAAAGAAAATTCTTTTTTTAATATATTTATGTGATTCCTTATATTCCTTGCAAAATAAGAGATGTTTAAGTCGTAAACAAATTCTAAAGCAATACAAGTGAATACATTACTACCATACCATACCATTACAATCTATCAAAAGTCCACTGCTAAACATAGGCCTCCCCACTAGATTGCCTCATATCCTCCGATCCTTATGAGGCAATCTATGGGGAGGCTTATGTTATATTTTCCTTGACACGCTTGGCAAGTTGCCCATCTCCTGGTTTAGTTTCCCTCTGTCGCCTCTTACGACACTGGGAATATAAAATAATATTTACTATTTTATTATCCCGTGGGTCTCAAAAGAGGATAATATTTTATTTACTATTATCATAGATGCCAATGAGCGGGTCGGAGAGTTTCACAATGCAATAAGGAATTCAATCCAATAATTATAAAGTTTATTTTTGCATATAAGCCTGTAATGTGACGTGCATTATATGCATATAAAGGTGTGGAATAAATTGCCGGCGACTGGCGCTCTATTTTGCATTAGCTATTGTTTCGCTAAGTTAGTGCGATTTACCGTTTAGTTCTTTATCATCACTTACCACCACGTGGGACAGTGGGATTAAAATAAATAAAAATAAAAATAAAATCAATTTATTTCAGACAGAGTCCATACAAGTAACATTTACGTTATAATAAATTTAATCTCATCTAATTTAATTTTATATAATTCTATCTAATCTTTGTAACTTAATTTAATCTTATTCAATTTAAATCAATTCAATATAACTTAATTCGATTGTTTAACATATTAATTACTTGAATAAAATTAATCTATAGTTTAATTCATGTATCTGCCACCCTCTGGGGCACCGGGCACATGTATAATTTGTACCCAATGCCGCAGAAGGGGGCAGTCAGGCTTGTCGTTGAGCACGTTCAGGATGGTGTTGGCGCTCCCCCGCGTACGGAGCATCAGCGAGGCGATGCGGCGTCGCAGCACGGCGTGAAAGCCGTCCGTGTGCGCGTGCGCAAACATCGCAGACGCACTACAGCAGCGCGGGAACGCCACCAGCACCCTGAATGCGTTATTACATTGTACTCGGAGAGCGTTGATGGCCCTCTGCGAAGATAGATAGAAAATTCTTTATTGCACACAAACAAACAAACATTTGGTACAAAGGCGAACTTAATGCCAAAAAGGCATTCTCTGCCAGCTAACCTTTAGTAGTGTGGTGAGAGCTATGGGTAGTGCCGCAACAGAGAAAAAAAAAACACTAATTTTCACATATTTTCAATAATATAATATAAATATGTTACTTGGGATTGTAGTATAGAATAGAATAGTATAGAATGATATTTTATTCAATATTGATTATTACATAATACTTATTGAAAGTCATGTTTTATTTACCACTGGTTCGGAAAATACCTCTGTTCTGGGGAGAACCAACAAGAAACCCAGCGGGACTTTTTTTTAAACATATTTAGCTTAACAATAATTTTGTTTGTACATTTTTACATGAATTTTCATAAAACCACCATAGTGCCCATCAACTTATTCCGAGGGGTTATTTTCATTCATGTATTCCTTGATACTATAATAACCCTTTTTGTACCATGTTTGTTGTTTTCTTTAATAAAACTTTTATTCTTGTTTATTGACAAACTTTGAACATGTTCTGGGATTTTGACTCTTTACAATTTAAGTTATAAATCGCCAGTACGGCTCTCTTTTTCAAAACAAATATGGTTTTAATATCAGTCGCATTACCCCATAGCAAAATTCCATAAGATATTACTCTATGAAAGTTACTAAAATAAACTAATCTAGCTGTCTCAACATCTGTGAGACTTCTAACCTTTCTTACAGCATATGCTGCAGAACTAAGTCTGCTTGCTAATTTAGATATATGGGGGCCCCACTGAAGTTTCGCGTCAATAGTAATACCAAGAAAACTAGTGGTATCCACAAGACTATACTCCTCCACATTTAACAGCACATTGGTATTCGAATGTTTTAGATTAGGTATTGTAAATTTAATACATTTTCTACTATTGCCGTTTAAGAGCAAATTGTTGGCGTTAAACTAATGTACTAATTTCGATAGAGCATTATTTACATCGTTGTAATTAATTAACTGCCGTTTGAGTTTGAAATTAAAGAAGTATCATCAGCAAATAATACTATATCGTGATTTCGTAAATTTAGTTTTAAACAATTTTTTTGAAGTGGATCTAGTTTAGTTTTAGCGGCTGATCCCCATATCTCAATTAGATATTCGATATGTGAGTTATATATAATTGTACGTGCTGTTTTTGGAATACAGTTTTCGAATTTAAGTAATGCACCTAGTAATAACATCAATTTTGATTTGATATGATTAATATGCAGTCTCCAACAAGAGTTTGTCATGTATTAATAGACCTAGATAGTTTTCCTGGCTTGAACGTTTTATTATTTAATCATCAATAATAAGATGTGCAAACTGATAAAGATTTATTATTTGTGGATAAAATCATAAATGATGTTTTTGATGTATTCATTGTTAGTAGGTTTTTGAGCAAGTCAAGATCTTTTTGAGCATAAGTTATAACCATAAACTTAGAATATACTTACGCTCGTATATTCTAAGTCTATGGTTATAACGTTGTGAATTGATTTATCGAAATAGAAAAGACATGTCATGAGTTCTCTGCGTACAACGTTAGGTGTCCTGTCACCCCTATTTTGTTTATATTATTTGTATAAATTTTAAAAAGTAATGGACGATACGTTTGCATTTTGGATACGTTTTTTAATCGAACTAGTAAAATTATGTATTTGAACAGCTTGTTTATACAATTTTGTAGATATGATGTAAACATTTCGAGGGCGCTGCCTGTAACGCCTATGTTGTTTCGTTTCTGCAGCAGCTTATGTTGGCTTACTGTGTTAAATGCTTTTTTTATGTAAATGAAAATCCCCAAACCAAAATTCCTTTGATCGATACGAGTTTTAATTTTTGTGATTAAGTCTGTGGCGGGTAGAAGGAAAAGGGGAACGGCCAACGCTCCGAGTGGTAGTTCGGAGCTATTCCATATATACTGCTTTAACTTCGGAACTTTGTTAGCGTGATTTAGACTTCGATGTGTTTTGCTTGTAGCGCGACGACAGCGCCATCACAAGTCTACTGCAGCTTAAGTGTTTTGAACGAAAGCCGTATTGTTGGTCTTTTTTATTAAGTAATCGTTTAGGCGGTTATATAGCACTCGTTCAAATATTTTTGATATAACAGGCAAGACAGACACTGGTCTGTAGTTACTTGGGTCACTCCTATTTCCGGATTTGAAGATAGGACCGACCTTAGCAACCTCCGGGAAAAACACCGCGTGTTAAACACATATTTATACAGTTCGTTAACATCTCTATAATTACACTTTTTAAGCATAAGATTAGAATAGAATAGAATGATTTTTTATTCAATATTGATTATTACATAATACTTATTGAAAGTCATATTTTATTTACCACTGGTTCGGAAAATACTTTGTCCTGGGAAGAACCAGCAAGAAACCCAGCGGGACTTTTTTTTTCAAACAAATTTCACTTTATAATAATTTTGTTTATACAATTTTTAAATGAACTTTCATAGAACCAGCATGGTGGCGATCACCTTATTCCCAGGGGTTA